CCACAGTCCCAGCACCACAAAAACAACACATGCAGGAAGAAAGGACACTTTACAATACTCAACTGATACTTGTAAGTGGGGTGGTGGGTCTCCGCATGTGCTGCGGTCCCTTGGTCGGCGGTCAGACACGACGAAGTGTTGGGCGGGACCACCGGCCGCCGCAGGAGGCCTCACCAATTTCCCAAAACGTATATCAAATGTTCCGCACTGAGACATGGGAACACGTGAGCAAACATGAGCACCAATACCCACCGAAGAGCTCTCTGCAGATCCCCCCTGGTGCGCAATGCCTCATCCACCTTGACCGTCGCCTCGTCCCTCTCCGCTTTGACCCCCTCCAGCGCTCGAGTCAACGACGCAGCCTTTCGCGAAAGGGAAAAGGGTGGAAAAGAAGAAAACACGGTGCCGCGGGAGGAGGAGGAGGAGGAGGAGGAGGAGGGAGTGGGGTGTTCGAAAGGCACCTGAGTGTAGCCAATCCGATGATCTTTTACCACATGACTCGATGATGCGTGTCGTGAACGAAAATTAGCCTCGAGCCACGGGATATAAAACAGCGGTGCCCTGTTCGGAACAAACACGCTCTCACCCGGCCTCATACAACAATAACTTCTTCCGGAGCACCCAAGCGATGACTAGAGTATTACCTGCTCCGCCGCGAAGACCACCATTTTCTTCGCCACAGAAGGCAGCTGCTCAAACGGCTGCACGCAAGCCCATCAGAGCTCCACCCAATCCGCTCTACTCTACACCTTATCACCCCTCTTCTCCCGACAGCGCGTGCACACACACACACACCACGCGCCACCGACAATCACCTTCGCGTGGGCGTCTCGCAGACGCAGCAGGGTTCCCTCCGGGTCTAGCCCACCGAAGTCCGCCTCCGCTCCCGCGGGCATCGCGTACGCCGCCACCAGCAAGCGCTGTTCCTCCGCGCTAAACCCGCCGGCGGTGCCCGTCGCCGCGCCGCCGGTTCCCCCAGCACCGTTGCTGCCGCCCTCGCCGCCGGTGGCTGTCCTCCCTGCTCGGCTACTCGTAAGACCGCCGCCGCCGCCGCCGCCGCCGCCCTCACGCGCCACACCCTCGTTCACCCCAAACCTACCACCGTCCACATGGCCTTCCTCTTCCTCGCGCCCGTCAGCGAGCAGAAGGGCGCGGGTCTCCGCCTCCGCCTTGGCCTCCTCCAGCGCCCGCGCCGCCGCCTCGGAGGCGCCGAGCTTGCGCTCCAGGTGACGGCGGTCTTCGCGAAGGCTCGACACGTGGCGACGGAGACCTGCGGCCTCGAGCTTGGCGGCGCGGAGCTCCTCGCTAAGAGAGAGGAGGCGCCGGGCCGCCGTCTCCACGGCGGCGCTAGCGTACGCGCCGTCCGCGTACCGGCGCTCGTTGTTGTCGGCGGCGGAGGAGGAAGGCGGCGACGGCAACGACCCACCGTCGATGCTGCTACCGCTACCGCCGACCGCGTTGTCGTCGTCGTCGTTGTCCCTTGATACCCTAGACACGCTGCTTGATCCACCACCGGCGGCGGCAGCGGCGCGATTACCCGGGATGACGAGGCGTTTCAGGTCTGCGACGAGGGTTTCCAGGTCGCGGCGGCGTTCCTCCGCGGTCTCGGCGTCGACCTCCGCCGACCGGCGGGACAGCTCCGCGACCCTAAGGCCCGCCTCGCTTGTCTACTCGCAACGCACGCACAGCCAGTACGACAAGTGGCGGAACATGACAGAGAGAACAGTGTCGGGTGTGCATCAATGCAACAAGTGGCGGAACGTGACAGGAGATACAGCAGGTGTGGCCGGCGGGAGGCAGGCAAGAGCAGCGGAATTCGGAAACGCGCGCGGCGAAGTTTCACCACGGAAGGTGTCCGCGTCAGTTGCATCAACATGCACACTGCTACAAACAGAAATCGGAACTTTCTGGGTTTTTTCACGTGAAAGAAAACAACAAGTAATAGTACCGTTTGTTGCACGAGGCATTGCACGCTCCAGACACGCGGTCGATACCTCAACCTCGACATCTCGGGTAGCAAAGGCGTCGTCGGTACCGGACGGTGCATCTTGTCCAAGGCTCGAGAGACATTTTTTTTTCCAGAGATCCCCCCTTCCGAAACACTAACCAACCCTCCCAGCGCACCTTCCCTTCAGTGCTTCATCGAGACTGTTAAAGAAAGGCCAATGGGCGAAGGGGTCCGCCCCGGAGATCGCTGCCGTAGAACATACCATTAGTTAGGTAAGGCTATTCCGCTAAGACGTATATTTTGTTAGATAAAGGCTAATCCGTTAGACTGCAAAGAGTCAGCGCTTGTCCATAAGACCTACTCAGTTAAGTCATAATCTAACAGAGACATCGTGTCGCGAAGATAGAATGCATCACAAGTGGTTGTTGTTTGGCTGTCGCAGGTGATGGAAAAAAATAATCAGGCACCTCGAGAGCGGCCGTGAGCTCCGACACCCTGGCGGCTATCTCCCTTGCGCGAGTTATCGTCAGCCCGCGCTCGGGCCCGGCAGCCCCGTCCGGCCCGGTGATACCGGCGTCGGATCCCGATTTACCGTCCGCGAAGTCGATCAGAGCACCCTTCAGGGCAGCCACCTAGTAGTCAAACGCAGGCAACACCGGGGGGGCGTATTCGTGTTTTGCATGTATTAGTTACTCGACCATCGACAACGCGTCCTCGAGAGGGATGGAGCATTATTCCCGACAGGATCGATCACCGATGGCCAATCGTTCCTTCCGCGGGGGGGGGGGGGGGGGGG